CCCCCTCCCCCTCCCCCCGCACGCGCGCTCACCTTGCTGCGGGCGGGCACGGCTTCTACGTTGAGCACGTGTGAGGACATCGGCAACACGTTGAGCTGGTCGTCCATGACAACGCACGTGCGACACGACGCCAGCGACAGGATGAATCGCTCGTTGAAGCGGCCGACGACATCGCAATGCGCCTCCGTGCGGTAGCGCGAGTGCACGTCCTGCAGGGGGCAGCACAAACACCCGTCGTCATCGCCGTCATCACGATAATCATCATCATCAACTCTATTATTGCCACCATCATCATGATCATGATGATCATCATCATCTTCTTCGTCGTTGTCATTGTCCTTATCATCATTGCCATGGTAACCACCATCATCATCGCTATTTATCATTATCAGGATTACTGTCATCATCGTCATCATCACTGTCACCGTCACCTACGTCTGTGTCGAAACGTACCATTGTCATGGTGTACAGCTGTCGTAGGGAATCCATGGACCGCAGTAGAATGGTGACGATGCCCCCACCTTCCACTGTCTCTACCGTTCTTGCCAACAGGTTTGGGGTTAGAGCCTCGAAATCCTGACAAAAACACAGAGAAACACATTAACTGTGACGCAAACAATAGCAGTGGGGTTTTAACGCGTTTCTATTACATGTAGATGCAAGTGGCATTACAAATAGTTACGACAACCTTAGCCTTAAAATGTCAAAACTTTCAAAATAAAGCGTCACGCATGAAAAACAATGCAGGACGAGCACGAAACAAACAACTTTGCGGCATTTTCAGACTAGTGTGATGGTCGCAACCGTTCATGCTGTTTCTCACGACGTCCCCACACATACTGAATGAAGTCACATGCCTCCGTACGATATAAAAGTTGCCACGAACATTCGAAGCAAAGCGCCGTACAAACATTGCGACATTTCCGTCCTGCATCTCATAACCACCCTCCGACCACGGGCTGGCCGCGCAGGCAGTGGACGCAGCGGCGGGTGTGTGGACGCGGCGATGCATGAGACCATAATAAAAATATTATTTGTTTGCCCTCACCCGACCGACCCGCTAAAAAGGGGCCCCGACTCAAAAAATTTTATGGATCTTTTTTTCTTCTTCTGTACATTATATAAATCTGTATGCAATACATTATATGTACAAAGCAAAACAAACATTCAACATAAAAGGTATCTCCACAGAAGCACACCCGAGCATGTAGACACCATGCCATATTTGTAAAAAAAAACCTTAAAAAAAAGAAGCCTACCTACCTACCCAAACTTTTCAGCCTGGGTCGGGTGAGGGCAAACAAAGATTTTTTTAAATTGTGGCCCGAGTGGACGCGGCGGCGCGCGCGTAAATGCGACGGCGAAAGCGTACGCACCTGCAGCACGCACATGCCGTACGTGTTGCCGAGGATCTTGTGCGTCTCAGCGTAGTAGCAGTAGCGAATGGTCGTCGCCGCGACGAACAGCTCAAACGGATCATCCTCGTTCACGTCCCCGCCGCCTCGCTTCATCCGCTTCTGTATCTGTCTCATCCGCTTCTTGCGGTGACTGAAACCAGGAGACAGCGCCGAGTGAGCCGACTGAAACACTTCTGTATCTGTCGCATACGCTTAATTCTTACGGCGACTGAAACCAGGGGACAGCGCAGAGTGAGCCGACTAAAACACTTCTGTTACTGTATGGCACACAAAGTGAATAGCAGCAATCTCATTGTAATGCAGCTTGGAGCATCGTCGCCGTTCCACGCTCTATCGGTTATAATTGGCGACTTCCGATCTGCGGCGACCGAGCGTCACAGAGGAATCGCTATGTGGGGGCCACCGTTAGGGGGACGAAACGCAAGATAGGAGATGATCCTCGCAGGACTGGTGCATGGCATTCAGGAGATCCTGAGGGACCTATGGGAATGTTTGTTTGGTCAGATCCACGGATCTCGATCTACCAAACCCGACCCTGCTAGCAAGGTGGATTTGAAGAGAATCTAATAGTAATATGGCGGCGTGCGCCTCAGCTAATCACTGCTTGTTGTTCGTCAACATGGCGTCCAGTGGAAGGTCTGCGAATACAGAGGATACCTTATTTGATTATTATGCTTTTTAACAATATTCCCACACTTGATAGTCATAATTATCACTATGTTATGTTATGCGTGTGTCACACAGATATTTTATTTCCTTGTATGTCGAGTACTCATTTGTTTGGGCGGATCAGGATCACATGATCGCGATCCGACGGATTCGTCCCAAACAAATGCGCCCTATGTTTCACGAGTGCAGCTGATTATGAGCGCATCATGTCAATGCGATACCTGCTGAATCCAAGCTCGCTTTTGTAGCACCAGAGAACTGATGGCCTCGATCGAACTTGCGCTTTGGAGAGCATGTGATGCAGCAGAACGACCTAGGGAAAATAACACAACGTGAATGTAACAAAATCCATTACCTATCAACTCAGCCCATCACTGGTACAATAGCATCAAATTTAAGTTGCAGAAGTTTGAGTGAGGGATACACAAAAAATCACGAGTAGTGGCCCATGTTGATCAATGATCGGTCACTGCTGATGACAATTCAATCTTCGTAAAATTTATGGGGTGTACTGAATACTTGCCTGATCTCTTGCCTTGTTACCGACGATGACGAAGAGACTGCGATGACCCAGCGCCACGCCATTCTCTATCATCACGCGGATTCTGTTATCAATCTTCTTCCTCACCATCTTGTACGCTGTTTCCCTGACGTCACTTTACTGTTTACAATTGCATACAACTGAAATTGTATTGACACATAACTACTGACACATACATAATAAACCACGATAAGCAATAATTATTCTCATTATAAGTATTTATTATCCAGTAACGTTGACGTTTAAACTAAAATTGGTCTATGCTAAAAGAACTGTGAGGAAATCAACAGACTCAAGTCTCAACACAGTGACAACACGTGTCGGAGTTTATTTGTTCTTATTATGTAACATGGTCAAGTTTTTAACTTCGAAATGTTATACTTGTTAAATACACAGCCAGATGTAGTAATTAGTAATTAAATCATTAGTAAGTAATTACAAATAACCTAAATATTCGGTAGAGCTTGCTTTCTAACAACACACTATGGGAGCTGACATCTTGTATCCAGCAGCGCCATCTAGTTGTGGTCGGCAGCCCGGTAGCTGACTCATGTTGTTCCGTTTTATTCCCATTCCATTCCGATGAGGAATTCCCATCCTCAGTAACCGGATACACTGACAGATAACAGATAAAATACTATATAAATGCTTTCGTGATATGTTATGCACGATTTAATGACACAGTGAGAACTCGTAGCTAACGCACCGTTCTAAAATATAATTGGCGCTGTTATCGCATTCGCTACTGAAAGATGGCAGCGACCAGGCGCTTAACAAAGGTATTGATTAAATATTTTAAGGCATAAATATATGGGATCTTTTAATGACGTTTAGTTCTACTGAAGTAACATTGTTACTGGTTTTACACCAAGACATGTAAGTGTCTGGCTCTTTCTCTTTTATTGACAAACTTGAGTAACATTAACCTGAATGTAGGTGACAATGATTCAATGATTCTGGTTTTATGTACGGGTACCCGTACTCAACACAATTCAATTGCGTAAGACTAAGGGTAAGAGTATAAACTAATTACCATGGACATACAGCTGAGAGTTTTATGATGTAGAGACATGGAAGGCGAATTCCTGCATTATCAGTAAAAGCTGGCTACTGTGTTTTAGGCAGTTTATAGTGACCTGTGTGAATGCAAGTTGTCAGTCACTTTAGTCTTTACTTTACTTTAGTTTAGGAGTTTAGCTAACATTGCTTTACTCAAAGGAAAGATCTGTTGTTATGAGCTTTTAATCTCTGCCTGATGTTGCTGCTGCTGTGCAATCCATGAGCACAAGTCAGATTCTCAGATGGTAGTGCACGTGATCTAGAATCAATATAGTCTTGCCACCCTCAATATCGCTCATAGGGTCTATGTCCCCCAGGGGTACTGCCGGAACGTACCCTGGGTACGGTCCGGTATACCGGAACGCACCCTGGTAACTATTTGATATGGTTAGGAATAGGCGTAGGCGGCTCCCTAAACTCGTTAGTGGAGTAGGCGAGGTACGGTCCGGCATATTAGATAGTACCAGGGTACGTTCCGGCAGTACCCTGGGGGACATATACCCTCTCAGCCTCAATATCAGTACGCTAATTTACAACATCTAATAAAGTGGTTAATTGTGTGAAGTAAGTACATATATACAGTGTAGGAATTATCATATACAAGGGGTTAAGTTTGTGCAAAAAAGAGCTGTGCTTGAAATTGTCACTCATTTGAAATATAACACGTATTTCGTTTTCTCACGATGACTCAGCACAAGGTTGCGTAACTCGAACGTGTAAATCGTAATCGAATAAATCATTTCATCATGTTTGCAGGAACTTCAAGACATTAGAAAAAGTGGACTCAAAGTGTTTCGAGACATACAGGTGGATGAGACAAATATTCTAACCTGGAATGGCCTTATAGTCCCGGTGCGTTGATAGTTTCGTAAATACTAATCATTCGTGTAGAATATATGTCATATCATCATCTGACATGAAAGATCACACAATAACGTATATATTGAGGAATCCACGTGTTCCAACCTTGTACAACAATATACATAATGTTCACGCTGGTAAATTTAGTTTTATTACGTGCCAGATTAATATAAAATTTTACATTTCTATTTCTAGGACAGCGCACCCTACAGTAAGGGCGCGTTTAGAATCGAGATCAACTTCCCAGCCGAGTACCCGTTCAAACCGCCTAAAGTGACATTTAAAACGAGGATCTATCACCCAAACATTGATGAGAAGGGGCAGGTGTGCCTACCTATCATCAGCCCCGAAAACTGGAAACCTGCTACAAAAACAGATCAAGGTATTTTCTCCATGCATGCGCGCGTCCGAGGGTCCATTGTGAGGAAGTACTACGTCAAACAACAAATGAGTTTAGACACTATCTTAACACATAATTGTGCGACGTGGGTTTCATATTAGCATGCGCTTCCTAACCCCTAGCCACTGGTTATTAACGACTGGTGGCACCTAACTACTTTTAATTAAGACGAGTGACACCTAACGACGAGCAGCATCCCGGGTGGACATTAATGAGATACTTGCATGATTTATGCTTCAGTAATTGTTCGGCATTAGTTTCAATGATCGTTCAGCGTTCGTCCGTCATCTTTAGCCGACACGTCCGTGTAGACATTGACGAGATACGTGCATGGTTTCCGCTTCAGTGATCCAGGCGCTCGCGATGCTCGTCAACGATCCAGAGCCGGAACATCCCCTGCGTGCCGACCTCGCCGAGGAGTACGCCAAGGACAAGAAGAAGTTCATGAAGAACGCCGAGGACTACACGAAAAAGTTCAGCGAGAAGAGACCGGCCGACTAACGCGTGTGCGGACGGGCGTCGCTCGCGTCGGCCCCGGGCGTCGCTCGCGTCGGCCCAGGGGAGTCACTGCGATCTTCTCTCTCTCTTTCTCTCCTCACAACGACATTGGGTTATCGTCGCGCGTTCTATGTGGCGGCGAATATTTGATGCGAGCGATCGGTCTCTGACGTTTATCGTCTGCCGACGCTCGCCCTGCCCTGCGGTCGCACATCCACCGCTTGTTGCGGGGTGTGGCGGGTCGTCACGTTTGTTTCAGCCTTGTCTGGGGGCGGCAAAAACGCAGAAAAGCTTTAAATGTAGAGCAAAGTTTATTTTACCGGTAAATGGCGGGGCCTTTTTGAAATCGTATTGAGAGAAGAGGTTGGTCAGAGTCATCAAATGTGTTATTACGTCGTAGCGCGCGCGACAGAGCGCGACGTTAGTGTTTCTAGGTTTCACATTCTGTCTACATCGGTTTGTACCACCCAAAAATTGTGGCGACGGGACAACTAAATCAAAGCACGACTTGGTTGAGTTTGCACATGCACGTGCTCGCTGTCTAGCAGTTGTATTATTTGATCAAGTGTCATACGGATATTTATCCAGTGAAATGGACTGGGTCCAAGTCTAGATTTTAGATGGAAACGGATATAATTTGAGTCCATGAAGTTTTGTCCATGACTAAAATATTATCAGGTGGAGTGGTCACGACCCAAAACAATGTTATCTCTCATATTTTAATGGGAAGCTGCAACACAGGAATAAAACGAAAGTTGGTCGTTAGATCAGCGACGGCTACAGCGGGCGGATGGCTTGTTCTGGAGTTTGCGTCGCTGTGATGGAGATCGGTTTTGTTGTCAGATCTGTTCCTGCCTGCCAGAACTGCCTGGCTGTGATGTAGGTGTGATTGTAAATTATATAGTACATGTTATATTTGTTGTTCTATTAACCCCCCCAACTCCCCGGTTGTGTTTTTCCCTGCATTTTTGGAAATGAACTGTGTTTCAGGGATCCAAATTCGCAGAGTCTGTAACAAATATGTACACCGGAAATAGCTTGGATATTATTATTATATCATTAGTGGCCATTATATAGCTTTTATCATTAAAATTATCTACTTAAAAAGTTGATGACCGACCTTTTCTTGTCTTCATATGACCTTGTCCAGTCGGATTATGAACTTCCCCCTTTTTCCGCATCTTATTTATAAATTTTCTTTGTCGAGTATTGTTTGGCTGTATCGATCCTATATGGTCTTACAGTTATTTTGCGATATAACCAGTTTGTTTGTTTCACTCCGTCATTAAAACTTGAGTGGTTGTTTATTAGGTGCAAAGGTGTGAGTTCGATTTGATTACGAAAAGTAATTCTTTCAGGTGTGAAACACTGGCGTCTTCGCTTGTTGATTGGGAAAACGTGACGCTGGTAATTTATTTCTTCTATTGTTAGCAAGCAGTGGCTTGGTAGTGCAATAGTGGTTAAACGTCTATTGGCCATTTATACACTGACACTGTCCCGATCGTACAGCACACGTCTTTCCTAGTTACAGGTAAAGGGCACATTTGCTGCATCGATGTATTTATCACTAAACCATTGTTTTTCCTACTCTTACAATTTTCTTGATCTAGAGATTTTTTCATTCGATTTTTTTTAACCAACAGTGGTAAATATAAAGGAGATGTAGCTGCTATATATAGATCAACAGTTTCTAACTGAGATATAGTCACCTAGCCGGTTTTGTGTGCAGGATAGTGTATCGCGGGTGTGTGTTGGTGTGTTTGTATGTGCGTGTGTGTGCGTGCGTGTGTGTACTGCTAAAACGTGAAATAAAATATTTCGAAAATAAATTATACCACAATTACCATTTATGTTTTGAGAGTTGTTATTTTAGTTTAATTGAATTTCAGTTTACAGATTTTCTACGTGTATTACATTTTAAGAGTGCCACTATATACAACAATGTTATAAATACAGACATATATACATACACATACATATGGGAACGTTTGTGACAGCAGCCATTAGGCGGTGAACTTATTGTATTAAAATGCAATCATGATAGCTGGTCGACAAGTAAGAGCCAAGGTCACATTAATACCCATATATTATTTATGAATTTAACAGTGAATCATAAAACGTTGTAAGAAATGGAATGGACGGACGGAATAGTCTGTGGCATTTTATGACTATCACAACATAATCACAATGCATTCATGTACTCAATTCTTACAAAGTTTGCCCTCTGCTTCCACTGGTTAGTAGCCTATGCACTACCAGTGACCACATATATGTGCACACTCGAACTACATTCAAAGAACAAGAACGACTCCAGATCACGTGCAAGCCAACGCACGTGCACATACACACACCCACGTTGGCATTCTACATTCAAGTGAAAGGTGTTGGTGACAAGTCTAATCTCGTCCCTTGATTGAGAAGACACGCCGTGTGGCCGATCACTGCCTGTACAGTTCTCCTTACTTCCTGGATCCTGCTGCATTCATCGCTGCAGAAGATACTGTTCTACGAAATCTGTCTGTTCAGCTTCTACCTTCAGCAGTGCGTCGTATTGCAGTCGCAGTCTGAAAAAAAATAAGCGACAAAACAGCATGAATCTCGCACATATCGTCGATATTGTGTTTCATTTTTTTTATGAATTGTACTGTATTACATAGAAATTAAAGTATTTTTTACCGCTTAACACTGTTGCATCCACCAGATTTTCCCTCCTTGAAACAGACTATTTTCAGTACATTTTTTTCACAGATTTTTATAATAATAACAATAATATCTCAATAGATATGTTCATAGGGCACGACAAACGTAACGTAACAGCGTACGTGTCCCTACAATTATACTTCTACTTAACACAAAATACAGTGAGTCTTGTGTCTCTTACCTCTCTAACTGTGTTCTCTTTTCTGTGATTAATGCCAGCAGTTGCTGCTGCTGCGCCTCTCGCTGCTTAGTAATAGACTTCAACAAATTTCTTGCACCTATTGCCTGAAAAGTACACCATACACATCGATTACAAACAATAGCCAATGCATACATAACTTTTACATAGGAAACCAACTGTCAAAGAGATATAATACACAATGTGATATAACCATGTGTGCAAGGTATACGCAGATAATATATACGAATATTAATTTAATTAGCTGAAGAAATACAAGAGCAAGCACGCAAAAGCAGTCAGCAGGGATGCGTTTTAAAAGTTCACAATCTTGTAATTGCTTCTCAATATTTATTACCTTCATTTTTTCTTTTTCTACTTCCTTTGACAAACCATCTACCATTGAAATAAAGCCTCCAACTATACTTTGGAACTCTCCAATTTCTGTAAAGTAAATTATATCGAATGACTATTGCCGATCTTGTGTTGCTGTTGAACCTGCTCTAGCTCCAAGAAACGGTCTTGCTAGGGTTAGAAGACCGTATAGACAATCAGTCGCACAGCCTCGTCGGGCTAAGCCTGCTCAGGCTGTTGAATGTGATTGTGAATCAGCATCTCAAAACACTGACAACTCATTTTCAGTTGCAAGGAAGTTATATAAATACAATAATGTAACCCAAACACAGGATAGGTTACACCCTATCCTGTGTTTGCCAGTTTGGCTCATAGGGTCTATGTCCCCCAGGGTACTACCAGAACGTACCCTGGTCACTATTTGATATGGTTAGGGTTAGGATTAGGGTTAGGGTTAGGGTTCGGGTTCGGGTTAGGTAGTAGGCGTAGGCGACTCCCTAGACTCGTTAGTGGAGTAGGCGAGGTATGGTCCGGCATATAATAATTAATATAGTACCAGGGTACGTTCCGGTATACCGGACCGTACCCAGGGTACGTTCCGGCAGTACCCCGGGGGACATAGACCCTATCAGCGCCAGTTTGGGTTACATTATTGTATCTAGAAAGTTATAGAACATATACTATACTATAGTCTATAGTTATTACTGCCATACCAGGCAGTATACTATTACTAACAATACTACGTCAATAGTCATATACTGATAGTATACTGATAGTGATAGTCATATAGTGCATCAAAGTCGTTTCAAACGTAGCATCTCCGTCTTCGATATAGTCCCTTGGACTTGAAAGAATAATCGTTATCAGGTTATGAGGTTAAAGGAAACACTACATTAGTACAGTACTAAACAGAATCAATGCCAGCGCTGACTGTTGAGTGTTGTTTATGTGTTACTGGAACTTGAATACTGTTACCATTGACAACCTTTTGACACGGTGCCGTTTATAAACAACATAATTTTAACATCGTTACCAAAAATGGACATAAACAAAAACCTACTGTCTATAAACTCTTTACATTCTTCTTTTAACTCCGATGTTTCTTGAGCTACATCTGGTTCCAACACTCGCAATCGCTTTAAATCATCAAGATGTAATCCAACTGCAACCAATGTATCGTCCGCCATTTCTATTACAACTGTAGACTGGTACTCGCACCCACCTCGATTACTCGATTACTCGCTCCCCCATTAAGTAACTAAACCGAGAGGTGGGACTGGGTACCAGTCTATTACAACTGATCGCCTACTGCCACCTATCGGTCCTTATTTTAATTAATAACAAACAGTTGGGTTTTCGCCATAGAAATAAATAGATGGTTTTCGCACTCTCGCTTACGTAAGAGCTCGGTTTACTTTGCCTTTATGCTGCACACCAAAAAACTGTTTTGGCGGCCAGCGACGCGAGTGCCAGTCCTCTGTAGATTAGCATAGGTGGAGAATAGTGGCGGGAGGCTGCGGCCAAAGTAAAATTTCTAAGGCTGATTTTACCATGCACCTCTCTACCGGTGTAGCGCGAAATTTATGACTTGCGAAATATATATGAGATAGCCCCGCCCCCCGCGCCTATGCGCATGCGCACTTCGCGTGCGTCCCGACCCGACTAATCACAGCTCGTCTTTGTGAGCGATAGCTTGTGCAGACTCTGCCAAGTTCTGCCATGCCAAGTTCTGCCATGCCAAGTTCTGC